TTGTAGTAGTGCAAATATAATGTGCGTACTTCTTTTGGAGAAGGCGCTTCAAATAAGAATAACTAAAATCATAAATGGGAAGGAAGTGTCTGATGACCTCTAACAATTAAATCCGTTGTCACCATTGTTTATAAGTTATGTAATCAGTTTATACACAGTCTTGTGGATGGAATTTGCCCTTAGATACTTTGATTGACCCTCGGAATGGCCAAAGTATGTTTGGTCACCTGTCAAAAAATATTAAACCCCCATAATTTTTCTGTATCACATGATTTACTTGCATCATGCTAGACTGTTAATAGAACTTTGTGTTTGTTGTGGGAAACCAATGTTTATGATCACAAATCTCGTGCATGTGTATTGCAACATGTGACATGCATAGTGCAACATGTGACATGCGTATTGCAACATGTGACATGCGTATTGCAACATGTGACATGCATAGTGCAACATGTGACATGCATAGTGCAACATGTGACATGCGCAGTGCAACATGTGACATGCGTAGTGCAACATGTGACATGCGTAGTGCAACATGTGACATGCGTAGTGCAACATGTGACATGCGTAGTGCAACATGTGACATGCGTAGTGCAACATGTGACATGCATAGTGCAACATGTGACATGCATAGTGCAACATGTGACATGCGTAGTGCAACATGTGACATGCATAGTGCAACATGTGACATGCGTAGTGCAACATGTGACATGCGTAGTGCAACATGTGACATGCGTAGTGCAATTACCCTTTAAGACTGCTGTCAATCTGATGTAGTGTACAGGCTTTAATTATTTTGGCTCTGAACTTATTTTTATTTTATTTTTTACTGCTTTTGTTATTAATGCCTTTTTATTTTATTATTATACTTTGATTTTGATTTTGTGATTTTTTTTTTCAATTCCGCCCTACATACCCTTGTTGGCTTTCACAATTACCAAAACTTAAAAAATAAATACTAGATCAAAATAAAACAAAATAAAATAAATTTACAAAAAAAAAGCCAAAACTAGGATCTTATTTTAATCAGATTGGATTGCTGAAAACTATTCTCACTGAAAACTATTAATTTGGCTCCATAAACAAAACACAACCACTAATTTTATACAATATCTGTGAGTTTCTTGTTGTTTGTTTACATTACAAATATAAGCAATATGTTCTGCATTACTACAGGTGGCAACATACTTTTAAATGATTGATGATTATTTTCACTGAATAATTCATGTTTTGACATTTGCTTTCCGCCATTGGTGGCTTAAAGTTTCATTTCTCTTTGCAATGTGTGGAATATCATTTCCAGAACAAGATAAAAACATAAAATGTGTTAAAAAATTTGATTTATTAAAAGTAAATATTCTAGCCTCGCTTTTCCGCTCATTCCATTTTGAATGTACAAACATTTATTATCTCCTAACTCAGTGAGTACCTATAGCTTAATTTAAGAGGGGCTCTTTAATTCAAGTTTTGCAGTTATTTTCATCCATTACTCACTCTCAAATCTTGATGGTGTATGTATTAATTGGTCAGTGGACATCAAGTGACATAATTTATTGTTATAAAATCCAAATAAAATTTAGATAAGGTGACTGGCAAAACAAATACATAAAAAATGGTGGCAGGAGCGTTCTCTTCTAATAGAGAAATCGTTGTATGAATGAAAATGTTAGTCATTTAGAGACGAAGCAAAGAGTGTTTCTGATTGGCTACCCTGCTCTAATACCTAATAGTCAGACCAATCAGAGAGCAGCTTGTTTAATTTGTTGACAGGTTTTCTGCCTTGTATATAGGCTTCGACTCAACTTGTAATTTTATGGCTGTTTGATTAATTGTATCAATTACAGAGTGAACTAATCACCAGTAAAGAATATCCATGTGAAGACCACTACGTCACAACGTTTGATGGATATATTTTGTCACTACAAAGAATACCTTTTGGAAATGTGCAAAATAAAACTACAGGTAACCAGTCCTTTTCTGGAGGTCACACTGAGGGGCTTCTGTAAAATAAATGGGTGACACTAATGCCATGTACGTCTTGAAATTGTTTTGATCTGTAGTTGTGTGTTAATAAAATAATGTTCTGTTCTCCCCAGTGTTTTGTTCTTTCATGTGTTCTGTTTGCCTGTGTACTGTTCTTCCAGTGTTCTGTTCTTTCATGTGTTCTGTTTGCCTGTGTTCTGTTCTCCCAGTGTTTTGTTCTCCCAGTGTTCTGTTCTAATTAGTGTACTGTTCTCCCAGTGTTCTGTTCTCCCCAGTGTTCTGTTCTTTCCTAAGTCTTGTTTACCTCAGTGTTCTGCTCTCCCATGTTCTCTTCTTTCATGTGTTCTGTTCTCCCATGTTCTCTTCTTTCATGTGTTCCGTTTGCCTGTGTTCTGTTCTCCCAGTGTTTTGTTCTCCCAGTGTTCTGTTCTAATTAGTGTACTCTTCTCCCAGTGTTCTGTTCTTCCAGTGTTCTGTTCTTCTCAGTGTTCTGTTCTCCCAGTGTTCTGTTCTCCCCAGTGTTCTGTTCTTTCCTAAGTCTTGTTTACCTCAGTGTTCTGCTCTCCCATGTTCTCTTCTTTCATGTGTTCTGTTCTCCCATGTTCTCTTCTTTCATGTGTTCCGTTTGCCTGTGTTCTGTTCTCCCAGTGTTTTGTTCTCCCAGTGTTCTGTTCTAATTAGTGTACTCTTCTCCCAGTGTTCTGTTCTTCCAGTGTTCTGTTCTTCTCAGTGTTCTGTTCTCCCCAGTATTTTGTTCTCCCAGTGTTCTGTTCTCCCCAGTGTTCTGTTCTCCCCAGTGTATTGTTCTCCCGGTGTTCTGTTCTTCGAGTGTTCTGTTCTTTCCTAAGTCTTGTTTACCTCAGTGTTCTGCTCTCCCATGTTTTCTTCTTTCATGTGTTCTGTTTGCCTGTGTTCTGTTCTCCCAGTGTTTTGTTCTCCAAGTGTTTTGTTCTAATTAGTGTACTGTTCTCCCCAGTGTTCTGTTCTCCCCAGTGTACTGTTCTCCTCAGTGTACTGTTCTCCCAGTGTTCTGTTGTATTCAGTGTTCTGTTCTCCCAGTGTTCTGTTCTTCCAGTGTTCTGTTGTATTCAGTGTTCTGTTCTTCCAGTGTTCTGTTGTATTCAGTGTTCTATTCTCCCAGTGTTCTGTTGTATTCAGTGTTTTGTTCTCCCAGTGTTCTGTTGTATTCAGTGTTCTGTTCTCCCAGTGTTCTGTTCTATTCAGTGTTCTGTTCTTCCAGTGTTCTGTTGTATTCAGTGTTCTGTTCTCCCAGTGTTCCGTTGTATTCAGTGTTCTGTTCTCCCAGTGTTCTGTTCTCCCAGTGTTCTGTTGTATTCAGTGTTCTGTTCTTCCAGTGTTCTGTTGTATTCAGTGTTCTGTTCTCCCAGTGTTCTGTTGTATTCAGTGTTTTGTTCTTCCAGTGTTCTGTTGTATTCAGTGTACTGTTCTCCCAGTGTTCTGTTGTATTCAGTGTTCTGTTCTCCCAGTGTTCTGTTGTATTCAGTGTTCTGCTCTTCCCAGTGTTCTGTTCTCCTCAGTGTTCTGTTCTCCCAGTGTTCTGTTGTATTCAGTGTTCTGTTCTCCCCAGTGTTCTGTTCTCAGTGTTTTAGCTGTTCTCCCCAGTGTTCTGTTCTTCCAGTGTTCTTTTGTATTCAGTGTTCTGTTCTTCCAGTGCTCTGTTCTCCCCAGTGTTCTGTTCTCCTCAGTGTTCTAGCTGTTCTCCCCAGTGTTCTGTTCTCCTCAGTGTTCTAGCTGTTCTCCTCAGTGTTCTGTTCTCCCAGTGTTCTGTTCTTTTCAGTGCTCTGTTCTTTTCAGTGTTATGTTCACCCAATTGTTTTATTTGTTCTCTCCAATGTTCTACTCTCCCCAATGTTTTATTCTATACCTAAAACAATATTAGGATTTGTGTCAATAATATTACATATATATGACTTTTTCATTGCATATCACCATACAAAAATGTTGATAAATGAAGGAATTATCTCACTATAGAAACCAGTGTAAAAATGTTAATTTTGACATTTTACACTCTTGTTTCTTGAATAATAGTCTGTTTACTATATTATTTTCAGTATTCTAATACATAGACAAATAAAATTGAAAGTACATGAACATGAAATATTATCTTCAATTTGGTGTCCTTAACGATGGTTGATTATCAGTGGTCATTTATGCAAATATGACAGGACTCCAGAATACCTTGTTTTGAATACATTCTCATACATTACAATTTCAGTGTTAGTTTTTAGTGTTTGAATTTGCAAAACTATTCTATATATCAATGATAGAACGTCTAATGAGTGACCCTACAATTTAATAATCTTATGTAGTTTGTGATCTCATTTGATAAATTAATTTTATAAATCTGCTATAGTAGGGTTACTCATGAAATATCCTCCATATACCGGTAAATGAAAACCAGCATCCATCATATTGGTGGTGTACTTCAAATAGAGGAAATATGGTACATCGTCTATAATTGTAATCCTTGTTTCTGACTTTTAAAGGTGGGAGACCTGTGGTGTTTCTACAACATGGTCTGCTTGGTGACGGCACCAACTGGGTTACTAATTTAGTAAATCAGAGCTTTGCGTTTATCCTGGCGGATGCTGGATATGATGTATGGATTGGAAATCTCAGAGGGACTACTTACAGTAAAAAACATGTGAATTTGTCACCAAAGCGGAGACAATTTTGGAAATGGAGGTAAATTATTTTTATTGTTTGTATTCTGGATAGTAAGTACAGGTGGGTTTCATAGACACTGACAAATTTGTCAATGAGTGCGAGTCTGTTATTGCGGACAAGAAATAGTCCAGTTTTATCTTGCATTGTTTTTTTCTAGTTTATTCTTTTTTTTTTTTAAATACCACTGTACTGTATGCTTTCAGTAACATAGGAAACGAAAAATCTTCCCAAGTTATCAGAAATCCAGGGGGTATAGATGAAATCGGAACTGCCATTTCAGTATTCTCATTCCTAATTAAATTGTATATTTGCTAGTTGGGATGAAATGGCCAAATATGATGTACCAGCGATGATAAACTACGCCCTAAAAATCAGTCGTCAGAGTCAGCTATATTACATCGGACACTCTCAAGGGACGACCGTTGGATTTGCGTCATTTTCAAGTAACGCTGACATTGCTAAGAAAGTGAAGCTGTTTATTGCGTTTGGTCCAGTAACAACCACCGAACACATCTCAAGTCCAATCCGGATATTTTCTGATAGTTATCTCTATAAACCTATTGAAGTAAGTCTTGCACATATGGTACTAATTTTCAGCGAAACAGGTACTTGCACGCTTCAACATGACCTCAAACTGTGCCTTAAACTCAATACTGTAGTTAAGAAGACCTATGTTAGTGACCACCTGTATATAAAGACTACTTGCTTATAGTGACCACTTTTAGGCAGTCCCAAGGTGTAATGTATGAGTAGCCTGTGTATACAGACCACCTGGATATAGTGACCACTTTTAGGCAGTCCCAAGATGTAATGTATAAGCAGCCTGTGTATACAGACCACCTGCTTATAGTGACCACTTTTAGGCAATCCCAAGGTGTAATGTATGAGCAACCTGTATATAAAGACCACCTGCCTATAGTGACCATTTTTAGGCAATCCCAAGGTGTAATGTATGAGCAACCTGTGTATACAGACCACCTGTTTATAGTGACCACTTTTAGGCAATCCCAAGGTGTAATGTATGAGCAACCTGTATATAAAGACCACCTGCCTATAGTGACCACTTTTGGGTAGTCCCAAGGTGTAATGTATGAGCAACCTGTGTATAAAGACCATCTGTCTTATGTGACCACACTTTGAGACAGATAATAATAATTAGCATTTCATTTATAAAATAAATTGTGATTTTTCTCAAGTCAAATTTATTTGATTTTGATCAAGGCAAATAAATGTGTTTTTGTTTCAACAAAACCATCTCATCATTTTCTGGGCAAATATTATTGTCAAATGTATGAGTTGATTGGTGATCCATGAAAAAATATTCCTACCAGCATAAGACCTCCTGTCTATAAAGACCATATTTGGTCACTGTACATAGGTTTGACAGTACAAAATTATTTAAAATTGTTGTCATGCAGGTTTGAAAAAAAAAATATTTAAAAAAAAAAAATCAATTTTCTCTGTTTTCATATGGGTTTCTCTTAATGTGATAGTCATTATCAAATTAAATGTATTCCAAGACTGCCATGGCAACAATGACTCTGGGAATCAATGTTTTTAGAACAGAGAGATAATGCTCGAAATGAAATATATCAATGATTGTGCTATGAACGATGTGTCGTACGAAATTTAATTGTTGTTAATTTTAACTGTGTTTAACTTCTCTAGGATGTGTTGAAATTGCTAAACTTGCATGAGTTTTTACCAACTGGTGAATTTTTTGACTTCCTTGCACGGGTGTGTGCATATGAAAAACTTGGCATCTTGTGTGAAAGCGTACTATTCATGCTTGAAGGTTATGACTGTCATCGTATGAACACATCCCGAATACCGATATATCTGGGACACACACCAGCTGGAACATCATTACAAAACATAGTACACTGGATGCAGGTAATTCTCCATGTTAATAATAATAATAATAATAACTTTATTGCATCCTTAGAAGTACAAATGTTCTATTGGTTTACAGCAATAAATATATAAGTGATTAAAATAATATCAAAGTATGATAATATTATAATATACCATTGTCTATATTTGCATAACAAGACTATAGTGGAGTTCACGTTAGAGATCTAGGCACGTGCCGAGACTCTACTCTGAGCTGGCACGTGCCGAAACTTGTGTGCGAATGGCCAGGACTGAGTCGGCATGTACCGAAAAAAATTTGATCTCGAAACTTGGCACGTGCCGAGATTTGCTGCCTGAACGCTCGGCACAAGCCGGAATCACGCCCTTCGGTGGTAAATTTAAGAGAACATGTGCTGATTCTTACTAAATTTAGTATGGAATGACGATGACAGGAAATGCAGATATACTAGTATATGGCTAGATGCTGTAGTAATGACTGAAATGAATGAAAACCGTCGTCAGCGATGCTTATTTATGTGCTGCTGCAATCGTTATGCTCTTGCAATGTTACATTGACGTGAAAAAAATAATTGTTTTTCGAATCTTCATTGCCGTTCATGTGCACGACACTCGTAATAAATACCATAACAACAAATGGATACAATTTCACTATAGCAATTATTATTATCATCATTTTGTTTTCCATGTTTGGGCCAAATAACAGACCGATGAATGAGGGCGTGATTTTGGCACAAGCCGAGTCGGTCTTAAGTGGGTCCCGAATAACGTGAACGCGACTGCTGTAATCCCTCTGCAAACACAAAGGATTACAAATTTCAACACGTGCCAAGATCCCGTAACGTGAACGTAGTAATAGTCTAGTCGATGTACCAGCATTGAACAAAATTCAAATTCAAGCATGAAATATCAGACGCACAGATGTAACCCAATACAGTACCTGTTTGCAGATTGAAAATAGACGTGTTTCTATAATTTCATGTATCAGCATCATACAAGAATTTCTATGTTTATCCGCTGTCATAACTTTTTGTTCAGATGATACAGTCTGGTAAATTTCAAATGTACAACTATGGATTAATAGAAAACCTTGTACACTACAAACAGGTGAGTTTGTTGTAATTTCTATCATCACAAAGACCCAGTAATAAAAATCATGAATCCTAATTGTTGCAGTGTCACAGAGTTTTTAAGGATTTACTATTACCGGTATTAGAGTTTATCTTTTGTTTGTTTTTTCAAATTTGTGGAAAATGAAAACAAAATTGTCTGGCAAAAACCTCACTTTTTATGACAGTTTTTTTCAAAAATTACAAAAAATTACACATAGATAATTGACCAGAAAATGTTTACTGTGCAGTGTTTGTTTAACCAAAGTAAACGGACTTGTTGCATTAATGATGCTTTTAGAATATACTACATATTTATACGATGGGCCTCATTGTCAAGTTTTTCCATGTTTTCATGATCATTCATTTGGCTTGATATTAAAGCAACATAATTGTTCATATTTCATCTGCCAGGTATGTTCTGTGTTTGGTTCAGATATCAAGCAATAACTGCATTTTAAAAGGACACTGAGTTATCAGAACTGTCTTTTATTTTTCTGGTTTCTTGTTTACCTATATCTTGTCCACTACTCACTGTATGTAGTTTATTTAATACAGAATTAGCTCAGATAGTAAATAGCTCACAGTCATAACTAGTACCATGTATTTTCACAAAAATCTGATACTATGACATAACTTAAAACAAAATTTGGTTGTCAGTATTTTATTAGCTTGCCTGTTTACGCACCAGACTTATAAATAACAGTTCTGTAAAAAATAGTGCCTTGTTTTTATCACTGGTAAAAATTCTTGTCAGAGCATTTCAGAATTTTAGAAAAAGTTAGGAAAAATATCATAAAATTTTACCAATTTAAAAAAAAAGTCTCTATTTCGGATGACAGACTGTCCAGAAAATTTCTGTGTCGCCTAATCTGTAATCGATATGTAAACAGTTTTTTTGTGAGTCTCAGCAAAGACACGTAGACAGTTAGGATGACAGTTCTTTTATTTGATCTTATCTCATGTAGATACGACCACCTGTATATGACGTGGGTGCCATGGAAACGCCTGTAGCTTTATACTGGGGAGAATGGGACATGCTAGCAGATCCATTAGATGTTGAACTACTTATACCAAAACTTAAGAATATTGTTGTTAAACGTAAATTGGAAAGATTTGATCATTTTGACTTTGTTTGGGCAATGGATGCAATATACGTGCTGTATAATGATGTCATCAAACTTATGCAACAATATTAAAATTAATTGTTTTGTTTTCTAAATTTTTTTAAAGTGAGAGGGTCGCCACCTACGCATGCACGGGAATTGAGTCCCAAGCGACGATAACAACACAAGCTAAAAATGCAAAGGCTCATGGGTAGTCGCTTGTTTGTAAACAATGACACACTATGGCCATCTGACGCATGCGCAGGTGACGACTCCCCTCGATTTAAATGAATCCTTTAACCCTTTGAGCGCCAAGGTCAACTTTAGTTACTTTAATTTTTTTTTCTTTAATTTGAATTTTTTTTCAAAATTTTTTATTAAAATATGTAGCCAATAAAAAAATATGTCCATTTGGTTCAAAATTATTGAAATAATTTTAGAAAAATACATAAAAACAGACCAAATGTATCACCCAAATGTTGTCAAGAAAAATTGTGTTGCTCAAAGGGTTAACACATCCAAGTTGTTGCATTATGTCACGCGTAATTGGCTTTCTAGGATGTGTACTGTATACTGCTTAATTTTTGCTGCTTGGAATTTTCACAACTTGATAATTTCAAGATACCGTAGTCGTGAAGATTAAATTTTGCGATAATCACTAACACTTTGTTGTCGTGTGACGCCAAAGGAATTTTCACTGCTACAAAATTTTGTGATTGAACACTGACGGTATACAGTACTCTCTCTCTCTCTCTCTCTCTCTATATATATATATATATGATACATTGTTTTTTGACCTTTAAGGGCGTATTGTGCAATTATTGTGATGCTTTAACAGAAGAAATGTATTTAATCTTGAACTAAATTCAGCAGTTCACATTTACAGGGTTTCAATAATATATAGGAGACCATACAACTTAAAAGTTGCATTTCTATTTTGTATGATTTGTTGAAAACCTTGATGATCCCCCCTATAGTCATAAAGCCTTTGGATTTTGTACAATAATAATAATAAATCTTGAAATCATGAAATCAAATTTAGAAGTCTCTTCTAAAATAAATTAAAATGGCTTTGAGTATAATTAAGCAATTAAAAGTATGTTTGATTTGGTGTTTACACCACGACCTTCAGTGCAGGCTAGCTTTAATTTTTAGGATTTATAAATGTTCTGACACTCATACAGGAATAGAATTACTGATTACGGTAATTAATTCATGTTAATGTTATCAAATCACAGTTGAGTCGAAGCATGTATACAAGGCAGAAATGGATAAGTTGAAAAAACCTGCTATCAAATAAGATGCTCTCTGATTGGTCTAACTGTTCAGTGACCAATCAGAAACAATCTTATAAGTAGCTTTGTACTGACTGCATTGTATTTGACATTATGTTTATGCTGTGAAAACATTAATAGAAAAATTATGGATCTTTCTGAATCCACACCATTTGAACAGAAATCAAATGAAAAGTTGAAACGACTTCAACAAACCAACATATTGACATTCATTGAAATTAGAAGCTGGTACACTCACTTAGGCTGAGAATTGGCTGGTACACTCACTTAGGCTGAGAATTGGCTGGTACACTCACTTAGGCTGAGAATTGGCTGGTACGCTCACTTAGGCTGAGAATTGGCTGGTACACTCACTTAGACTGAGAATTGGCTGGTACACTCACTTAGGCTGAGAATTGGCTGGTACACTCACTTAGGCTGGGAATTGGCTGGTACACTGACTTAGGCTGGGAATTGTGTGGTACACTCACTTAGGCTGAGAATTGGCTGGTACGCTCACTTAGGCTGAGAATTTGCTGGTACACTCACTTAGGCTGAGAATTGGCTGGTATACTCAATTAGGCTGAGAATTAGCTGGTACATTCACAAAAGTAATTTTAGCTCAAAATTACATGGATTCATGCAGATTTCTGTAATTAGAAATGGATAGTATACTTTTCTACAATAAGTTGTTGTTTTTTTCTAAATTTTTGTATAACACATAATGTATATATTGATAAATGACAAATGTTTAATTCCAGTCTATTTTGTAATTTTTTTAAAAGTAACTGTTTTTACGATGGAAATTAAACAATCCTACCTATCACTTACCTTATGGTGGATAATTTCTCAAGAATGAAAACAAAGACATATAGGAGTTTATATACTGTGAAATACTTCATTTTAGCTGGAATTAATTTTCACTGAAAAGACTTTTTGTCTGTTTAGTGTGGATTTTATTTTCACTGATTTTTGATGAGTTGAGTGTAAAATATAGGAAAAACAGTATATTTGCTGGATTTTATTTTCACTGAATCATTCCATCAACGAAAATAGCGAAAATTGATTCCAAGCGAAAATAAAGTAATTTACAGCAGTTTTATATGGGCACTCATTAATGACAGTACATTTTGGTTTACTTATTCTCGATAGCGAACATCAAGGAATTTTCACTGTCTGGCAATCCCCTTTGGTAAAACAATGATTAAAATTCCCCTGAAACTATCCGTATTTCTCAACAATTTACAATCCCTGATATACAGTGCAGTTGAGTCAAAACAAGTACAATGGGTAGAATTTGATATGTCGAAGGAAAAACATGTTGACAAACAAGCTTCTGACAGTTGGCTAATCAGATACCTTTGCATTGATTCTCAAGCCAGTTCAATACAAGCAAACTGGGCAGAGCGCCCTCTAGTGGCATATGTTCATTCTGCAGCACAGGAAGGTTGCACAAACTTTACATATTTGACCCTGAATAAAAGCATAGATCCGATTACAATAGGTGGTAATTTGTACTAGTACAGGTACACTAACATTCATTTTGCAAGTAGAATCAGTTAACTTGTATATAGTGGCAAGGCGATGGACAGCAAATAAATTGACCTTGGCTAACAGTGATGAACACATTGTCACAAAGTGTGCACAAGGACAGTACAGTCACCTCCACAAAGCAAAGTACAAAATGATGGCAAATATTAGTGAAATATTCTTGGGAATATGTTTTGGAAATTATTTATGGTAGAATGCTTCACTAAACTCGGCGGGGGGGGGGAGTTGCACAACACAATTGGTTGAAATAATTGACATAAATATTTATGAGCAATAAAAAAACTCTTCAGTAAAATTGTGCCAAAATGCTTAATGACAACACACATGATGGTTCTAAATCGACTGAATCTATTGCCATGAGCTGAAAAAATAAACGAAAAACTGATGTAAAAGTGTTTTGAGACGTGTTTTTGATCAGACTCCAGCAAACTGTTGAAAGTAACCACAGGTTTTTTTTTACCATAGCCATTTACGAATTTCATGGAGAATACAGAGGAACGTTATTTCACTCGAGTACTATTGCTCAAAATTGCGCACATGTTTTCAATAACTTTTACCAGTGACAAGTTACATAATTAGTATGCATTTCGAGAAACCTCTGTGTGCATGGGCAGTTTGAAATGGAACATTTTTGAACGCAATAAAATCATGCGTCCAGCAAGAAATTGCGTAGTCAAACTGGTTGCCAGTTGACTTGTTTTCGCAATAGACAATTTTGTCTGTCATTTCTAAGCAATTATTGTTGAGCGTTATAGAATTATGTTTGTAAAAGGGGCGTTGTTGCCTCGACGAAGGCCTATGGACGACAGACTTCAAACAGACAGCACTCTCTCCTGCCAATCCCCCTTACAAAAGTATTATCTTCATTCGTACAAGATGCATCATATTAAAAAGATCAAGGTCAGCTTTTCAAGATCAAGGATATCTCAGCACCTTAAAAAAAATTGACAATATTACTGCATGCCCATTTCAGAAAAACATTGAACCAAATAAGTTTGCATACTGTTGATATAATAATGATTTATACAAATCCAGGTCACAATTACATCAAACTTTTGTTTACATCCTTAAAAATCACAACTCACAAAAACATTTTATAAAAGTCAATAACATTTTTTAATTCATACTATACATTCAACTACAATTTGTGAACCCAATAGTGTGGCATAATTTGATATTCTGATATAGCCAACATGTACAAAATGCAACATTTTATAAGCAGTAACTGGGAAAAATATTTCAGATTGACATATAAAGAACTTTACCTTATTTGGTATCAAACAATAATTTTCAGTGTTGGCTATGAAGAAAGCTGATAATTTATTTACTATAGTTCTTTGCATAATTACATGTATCGCAGAACTGCTCGATTAGAAAAGAAGGCCCCCTACACTAATCTAATGATAAAAATAATGGCTTTTGCCATCATACAATAAAATACAATAAAACACTGGATATGGAATGGATTGAAAATGGGTTGTTGGTAGTAGACTGTGCATCTATTGGTCTACGTAGACTTCGGACACTGAACAGAGGAGATAAAGATGAAAAGCATTTGAAAAATGTCAAAAGCCGGATTGCCTGAGGTATAAAACAAATGGTCCAGGCAGGATTATGTTTATGTCGCTTTTTGTGATCCTTTCTTTCCAATCAAACTCTTGTGAATATGTGGAATGACACCTGTAAGAAGAAATAAATTTATTATTTGCATTGTTTTTGATGTTATTGACTCCCGCATGCAGTTATTACAGCCATGCTGGTGCTTTTTTAACAGCTTGCTATACATTAATTATTCACGTTTTTTTTTAATATTGCTATATTTGCAGATGAGTAATGTATGCTTTATTAAATTCATGTGAAATAATGACAACTCATTGGCTTCCTGCAACTTAAAAGCCTAAATAGTGAAAATAATTTAATTTACAGTATTGAGGACCGATTAAAATTCATACTGCTTAATATTCGCTTCTAGGATCTTCCACACAGGATTCTGTTATTAGTGTAGACAAAGCCCAGAGAAATTTTACTGCAACAATTTTTTTTTATTTTTTGTGTGAAATCAAAGTGGTTACCGTAGACAATGATGAGACAACTTACCACCACCAGCAATTGTTGCTTTGATGAGGGAATCCAACTCTTCGTCACCACGGATAGCTAACTGCAAATGACGCGGTGTAATACGTTTGACTTTAAGATCTTTACTGGCATTACCTGCTAACTCAAGGACCTGAAACGAGCACAAGTTTAATTTGTCAAAGATCAATAATAACAAGTTTAAACAGCAGAGCTTGTGCAATAGACAATAACAAGACCAAGGGAGTTTGGGTCAACGTTAGTTAGGTCATGATGCCTTGCAAATGTAGTGACAATTGCTGATGAATTGAAACATTTGTCACAATGTTCTTGTGAAACAGCAACCCGACTCGCACCATATTACAATAGCAGGTTAGTTCCAAGCTAAATAAACCTTGCTAGCTGTTACTTAATTTGCATTAGAATACAAATAAAGCATATTGTTAATTTATTCAGCGTGACTGGTTGAATTGATTTTGAAAAATTAAGGCTCAAACTTTGTAATCTACACGCGAAATATAACGAAAATTCAACCGATAACAAGCAACGAGAGATGCAATTCGATCACCCAGGCTGAAATGGACAAACCGAAACTCCCGCCAAACTGGCATAGGACAAGGTCATCCTGATCATGCAGAAATTGACACAACACTAAAATTTGCTAGCTAAATACTTGTATTGTGAGCGCGTCTAATCGTACTATTTCTATAACTAACGAAAATTCACGGAATAAAGCGGGCAACAATAGAAGTGCAATTTTGCAACAAGGGGCCCTTGAAGGGTAATTTTGTTCAGTTCCTGATTTATGGATCGATCACTGTTTTTGGGCCCCGAATGATGTTGAATACATTAATACGTTTGCGCGGGTCAAACAACAAATGCACAATGAAATAGTTATAAATTTTACACTCACCTCAGCTGTCAAATATTCGAGAATAGCTGCAGAATAAACAGCGGCAGTAGCTCCGACACGTCCGTGGCTAGTTGTGCGGTTTTTCAAATGCCTGTGAATACGACCTACCGGGAACTGCAAAACCGAACAGAATGGAACCAGATGAAATATTGAACAAAAGAACTTGCAATCACATAAGCTACTGTCGAATGGGAATTGACAACTGAAACAGGTACGGTTTAATTATAAAAATAATTACCTGAAGTCCTGCCCTCGCTGAACGAGAAACTGCCTTGGCCTTTGCTTTTCCGGAATCTTTACCAGCTTTGCCGCCTGCCTGTGGACAAAAACATTGGACGTAGAACAAAAATCAAAGACGAAAACAACAAAATCGGCTCGATGATGCCTTCATGAGATGCAGTAGTAAAGTTTTCGAAAGAAAATAACGGTGGATGGCGCGATATTTGGCATACTTTCAACGGATTTTAAGAAAAATAGCTCACCATTTTACTGCTTATCTCTGTGTATAGGAAATAATACAACTGATACCCGCCAATATCGCAACGACAATTTTTATAGAGGTACGAATCACGTGATGACTCACAACCAATGGTTGTAGATATACTGTTCAAATTAACCAATGGCGTTCAAGTACTCGTTCATGAATACTCGTACTTTTCCGGAAACTACCGAGAATTAATTAAAACAACAACATCAATGGCCACAGCTGGGAGGTATGTCATTCACAGAAGTGTGAGTAGTACAAATTTACACCTGTCAGGACATTCTCACTTAAAAAAATTGTGTTAAGTTAAAATGATAGAAAGGACCATTTTGAACTCCCGTAACTCGTTTTTTCTCCACATTTTCCCTCAGGACGCTAAAACCATCACTGAACCCCGAGTCTTCCCCGGCCGCGGAGCCTTCCTTGGCTCGGTCGTTTGAATAACCAGGGAATCCCGAGATTTCCCAGAGTCGCATCAATTATTACTGATGTTTAGTAGCGAACCAAAAATAGTAGTTTAAAGTTACGTGACTTCATTATCCCCTCATTTTTACTATTGCATTTGTTTACAGTACAGATATGTAAGGTATCCCGGACCGTCTTTTAGCTCAGACACGGTTAATACTAGCAACCGTGGCTCAGACTCGGACAAGCAAAATATCTGAACAAATCTGAGCTAGTAAACTTCTATTAGTAATGGAGCATGTGGAAGCTACACGAACAATGGTTTTAAGACTTTCAAGAACACATTGTCGAAGTTGACACATATCAACACTACTAATAATGGAAAGTGACGAAGTAGTATTTTTTAAATGGTATATTAACAATAAAATGTCTGAAATATTGTTGACAATGTTCAGTTGACAATATCATAATATGTATAATTGTTTATTTAAATTTAAATCGTTATCATAATTCCCAAAACTGCACTAGTTTTTATTTGATTTAGCTACGGTGTTCCCCATTTCAAAACTGGGTAGTGGGCTGAAGGGTGAAGATAAATTGATTCAGTTGTCTTCTTGATGGCTGTGCATGTAAGAAAAGGATAAACCCCCAAAATAAAAAAAATTATTGATCGCCAAGTAAATGTGAATAAAATATATATTTGCAACAACAAAAAATTCCTCTACCTCCAGATTTCAAATAGGAAGCTCCAAAAAGCAGTTTTTTGTTGAACCATCCACACCTTAAAATTTGCATAAATACAGGGTAGTTAAATTCAGCTAGATAAAATTGGAGCTGAAAACGAGGAGAGATTTAGAAGGGGTGGCATATAATTCAGTGCAATCATGATGTTTTTCAGTAATTTAACCAGAAAACGTGTTTCATCTTATCATGTAAAATGAAGAAACCGTGTATCCTGGCTCCAAATAAACAGTTTGATGACTTTGGTTCTGTTGACTTAAAGGGGAACCTTCCAAACCCAGGGATTGTTTGTTATCCATTGTAATTTTAATCCAAAATGTAAATTTGTTTTGAGATTAGGCTTAACTGGGGGTGCCCCTTTAAGGCACATAATCAAACGTCATTACTATAGGAATAGAAAATTTATGTAGAAAACATTACAGTCTGGCACCGTCTCTCAACAGTGAGTGTGATCACCTTTAGATATTCACAGAACAACATTAAAAATGAGAAAATCTGGGCTTCTGTTTGAGTTGCATGCAAACAATTATTGAATTAAAATAAAGTAACATTTGTTGTCGACTTAGGGCTCCCCTTCTCATTTGCCAAAGGCTAAATAGTGGATAAACAAATATAAATTTTGCTAAATGCTTTAATGTATGTCACGGAAAAAATGTGTTCAACCATACACAAAAAACAATTCATGGTTCAAACCTGGTTCTTGGGACTGACATGATGAAAGCTTTGTTTATGCACACGACCTTAATCAGATTTTGTAAAATACTTAGCCGGAATTAATTTTCACTAAAAAGACATTTTGGATG